ACCATTTCGGCGATCAACGGCAAGGGGTAACGATTCTTGACCGTGATTGCATTCAATCGGCGGTAGTCCTGCACGGGTCGAAGAGTCCCTTCCTTCTTTTTGATGAAGAAGAAAGGCGACGAAATGGGCGACTTCGATTCCCGTATGTAACCTTTCGCTAACTGCTCCTTCAGGAACTTGTCAAGTTCTTCCTGTTCATTGTTCGACAGGGGGTACACTTTCGAGTGGAACGTCGAGTAGCCGGGCACGAGTTCGATTGCGTGATCGTAAGGCTTCCTTTCGGGTAGCCGTTCTGATGCTTCCTTGGAGAAGACATTCAGGAACTCGTGGTACTGCTTGGGCACCGACTCCTCGGCGGTCTTAACGACCTTCTTTTTGATCTCTTCCTCCGCGAACAGCTGGGAGTATGTATGTCCTGCCGCAACGAACAGCTGAGGAGCGCCAGGAAGCATGACACCTTGCTCCCAGGCTTCGATCAAATCGACCTCATCCCACTCTACCTCCACCATATCTTCTTCAGGTTCAAAGTCCGGGAGTACCTTGCTCCGGCAAGCGCCTATGACCGACCGTTTGGACTTCGGCGAACGCCTGCACGCCGTGGGCCTGTCCCCCGTATCACGCACAGTCGTTGCTTGCTCCATTCGGCCAGTCCTCCTGGCACTGCACGTTTCAGGGCATCGCGACAATTTGAGAGAGCCCTTCTCCCAATCGATTTCAGGGTTGTGCTCGCGTAGCCAATCCAACCCGACGATCACATCTTCCGGACCGATGTCCGTGACCGTGAACACCGTTTTCTCGACGTGTTCTCCTATATGCATCTGTAGCACTGCTACTTCCGAGATGCTTCCGTCTTTGTTCAGGGTGCCGTCGATATTGTACAGCGGAATCGGCTTCTTTAATTCCGCGTCTGCACCTTATTTTCTTCAATGAATCGCTTGTTGATAAACTTTGTGGTGGCTCCGCTGTCCACCATAGCGATTACGTCCTTGTGCCGTCTTTTCCCTTGAAGTCGAACTGGAATGTGAAAGTGCTGGGACCCCTGGTCCAACTCATACACCATTGCAGTCGACAATACATTATAACGATTACATGATATACCCGGCCCGACGCGTGCGGCACGAAGCGCGGACCGGATCAAAAACCCTCCTCCTTCATCGCCCGATAGTGCTCGAGCTCCTCGTGCATCGACTTCACCTGTGCCATTAAGTTCGCCAGCTCCGATTGCTCGGATTTCGCTGAAGCGGCACTTATACTTGCCGAGGGTGTTGTCGTGACGGGGGCGCTTGTCGCAGCCTGGGTGGAGCCCGAGGCAACCGTAGCCCGTGCGTCGGCGCGTTTTGTGTAAAGCTTGTCCTTACAATTAGGGCACTCGAAACATCGGTACCCTTGCTTCCCACAGCCGAAGCATGTGCCGGGGAAGTTGCCTTTTCCGACGGCCGCATTGATGCTGGCCGAAGCTGCGTGTGACTGGGGTGCACCACCACGTGCCCCACCACGTCCTCGACCTCGGGCCGAGAAGAAATTGTTCAGCTCGGGCCGACGAGCCCGGCTGATGTCGAGGATTTGCTCGACCTCAGTGGCGCGCTTCTCAGCTGCTTGCCATGTGGTGAAGGTTTCGAGCTCGATCTTTCGGTACACGTGGGAGGGGATGCCGCTCAGGTACTTGTCGCGTAGTTCCAGGTCCCCATACCCGGAACGGTCCGCCGGACCCTTGAACAGCGCGGAGAATTCCGCGGCAGTGCGTTTTTCGCGGACCGATTTGTCCGCGCAGAGCTTCGCTAGCTCTACTTGTGCCGCCGCCTCGTCGTCGAGATTTCTGAAGCGGGCCCTGAAGGCGGCGGCAAAGGCCGCTTCGTTTGCGAACGGGGTCGTAGCCCCTTGCACACCCACCTGCACCGATGCGAGCTGGGCAAAGTAGGGAGTGGCCCAGGCGCGGGCATCTCCATCGAGCAGGCTAAGGGCAACCTGCACCTTGAGTTCGATGGTGGTCAACGACGTGTTGACCAGCCAGTAGATGTGCAGCTGCGACAAGAACCGGTTGCATTCGATGACGGTCTTACCATCGTAGCGGAGCGGGAGGAGGAGTTTTAAAGTCTCCTTATCAGGGGCGGCTGCAGGAGAGAACATTATCGGCGTCGGGGGGGACGGAGGACGCTGCGGGGGCGGAGGCGGCTGTGGTGGCCCTCCGCTGGTCGAACTTCGAGAGGAGCGAGTGCTCGAGCGGCCTCTCGGCGGAGTCGGCGGTGAAGGTGCTGAAGGAAGTTTGGTGGGAGGGTTACGTACGTCAGGGACTGCTGACGCGGGGGCGAGCGCTGTCGGCGAGGCGGACCCAACAGAATCCTCGGACTCGGACTCCGAGACTCCTTCTTCACCTGCACCCTCCTCAGGCTCTGGCTCTGGCGCAGGGTCTGGAGGGAGATTTCCTCGAGCTTGACTGGACTCGGCGACAGTTTGGGGAAGGCGGGAGGTAGGGGAGACAGGGCGAGAGTGCCGCGAGGCCGATCGAGATGCGAGGGTACTTCGGGGTCCGAGCGGGTGTTGCGCTCGTCGGATCGCCTTGTAACGAGGGTAATCTTCCTCGATCGATCGGGGTGTCCGATTTGGGCACGGCTGTTGCTCGCAGCGGTAGAGGATAGTCTCAGGGCCGTCTGGGATGTAGACGTCGATGAGGTCCTGGGAGTCGAATGCGTGGATCTGGCCTTGGCAGGCAGCCACGATGGATGGGGGGAGGACAGGAAGGTGCGCGTACTACGAAAGGCCGTGGTAGACTAGCTTACACCTACGGCGCCCGAGACGACACTAGGGTTCGCGATTCACGTGGGGCCCAGTACTGCTTTTGGCTAGTATGCAGCAGGAACCTAGTCCACGCGTCCGGTTAAGGACAAGCACCGCCCACTGAAGTGCAGGTGCTGAAAGGTTCGTTCCCTGAGTGTTGGCGATGTAATGTAGGCTATCTACGTATCGTATGGTATCGTAAGGGTGCGCACCACCCGACCTATGGGAAAGAAAAGTGTGAGTATGTGGGTTCCAAGAGAACGCCGGTCGCTTGGGAGAGTTTCGACCTAATGTCGCGACTTGAGGTCAAGCGACAGGAGAATACCTAAAAGCGAGGGGCGTCCAACTGGTTCTCACCGAAGCGATGGTGAGCGAGGCTCAAACCTAAGGCTAGGGACAAGAATATATTAGTTAGTAAGGAAAGGTAAGTAAGTACAAGAGAGCTTACTGACCTAGGGACAAGAGGTCGAAACTGAAGTCCCTAGGGCAGCAGAGGCCGGCTTATATACAGGGGGAGATAAGGGCAGGCTGTGCGCGTTGGTCCGTGCGCAGCTGGTCCGTGCGCAGCATGCTGACGCGGCCCCGGGGCCGGTGAGTCAGAGCGGCTGCGTCAGCGGAGCCCGAGCTGTGCCATGCGCTGCCGCCCCATCTAATCTAATCGTACAGTAGATGGCAACGCGTCCATATCGGGCAAGTAGTACAGAGGTTGCGGGTTCGAGCCCGCGAAAAGGAAAAATTAAAAAATGGCTAGACGCCGTACCAAGTCGTGACAACCCCCACGCATGTCTCATGTTACGATGGATTCCCAGCCATGTTGGCATCCCGGGCAATGAAGCGGTTGATCACCAAACAAAAATGGCAGCATGTCAGAGGCCTGACCCCCCTAACATAACAGCACTGCCCTGAGTACTCCACAAATCACTGCCCATGAGTGTTGCCGCCCTGAAACAGCACAGAACGGCCAACCTCAAATGAGAAGCTCTCACCCATTGGGAAACATCCCCTCACTGTGACAGACTATGCCAAATCAACCCCACTTTCCCATCAAACAAATTCCTTAAACTTGCCAGTACCCTCCCCAAGCAGCAGACTAGCCTCCTCATACAGTTGCAATCTGGACACGCCCCCCTCAATAAGCACCTGTTCCGACTTGGCAAGGTCAACTCAGTGCGGTGCTCCTGCAGCACAGATGACGAGACAGTGATCCACTTCCTGCTTCAGTGCCCAAACTGGAACCGTGCGCACGCACCACTCCGGCGAGCCTTCCCTCCCTCAAACTTGCAACTACTGTCACGAGTTGATACGGCGCCTAGCTGTTTTTTAATTTTTTCCTTTTCACGGGCTCGAACCCGCGACCTCTGTACTACCTGCCTGATATGGACGCATTGTTATCTACTGTACGATTAGATTAGATAGGACGGCAGTGCACGGCACAGCTCGGGCTCCGCTGACACAGCCGCTCTGACTCACCGGCCCCCGGGGCCGCGTCGGCATGCTGCGCACAGACCAGCTGCGCACGGACCAACGCGCACAGCCTGCCCTAAATCTTCCCATGTATATAAACCGGCCTCTGCTGCCCTAGGGACCTCAGTTTCGACCTCTTGTCCCTAGGTCAGTAAGCTCTCCTGTACTTACTTCTTTTACTTACTAACTAATACATTCTTGTCCCTAGCCTTAGGTTTGAGCCTAGCTCACCATCGCTTCGGTAAGATAAGTCGAACGCCCCCAGCGTTTGGTTTTCCCCTGTCACTCGACCCTAAGTCGCGACATTAGGTCGAAACTGCTCAACGCTGCCGGCGTTCCAAAACAAACACTCATCTTTCCTCTCCTATAGGTTGGGTGGTGCGCACCCCTACTATACCCTACGATACTTAGATAACCTACGATACATCGCCACCACTTAAGGGACAAACTCTTCGGTATCTGCACTTCAGTGGGCGATACTTGTCCTCACGGACGCGTGGCTTAGGTTCCTGCTGCATACTAGCCAAAAGCAGTACTGGGCCCCACGTGAACTGCGAACCTTAGTGTCTTCTTGGGCGCCGTAGGTGTAAGCTAGCTAGCACGGCCTTTCGTAGCACGCGCACCTCCCCTTCCTCCCCCCATCACCGTGGCTGA